CATTTTTATAGACGTTGCTTGAAAGTAGTCCCCNGACTCGCTAACTTTCGACCACTCTTCAATTATGGCCCTTTTTAAGCCCAATAATGACCCATTGGGCCCATTTTTATAGACGTTGCTTGAAAGTAGTCCCCACAGATTTTCCATGGGATTCAAATCCGGACTGCGGGCTGGCCATTGCAAAAGTTCTATGTTTCGAGTCTCAAAGAACGTTTTCGTCATGTTAGAAACATGAATAGCGGCATTGTCCTGTTGGTAAATCCATTCGTTTCCCCAAACAGTTTCACCAAAATTGATTAATACGTTGTCGAGGAGTTCAACATACATTTGGGAATTCATTCTTGTTGATATCCAAATGCTGCCCATACCATCAATGAGCCATCTCCAAAGTTTCTTGCATGGCATGTCTGTCTCTCTCGGCGAATATCTCTCCAATACTTCATTTTACCATCGGGTCCATCTAAGTTGAATTTTTTCTCGTCGCTAAAAATAACGTTATCCCATTCATGCAACCAGAACTTATTTTTTTCAGCAAACTGTAGTCTTGCTTGCTTGTGGCTTTGCTTGAGCTGTGGTACAGGCAACATTTTTTCATATCTAACGTTATCGTCTGAACTTAAAATTGGTTTAACTCGACATTTTGTCACCTCAAGAGAGAGTTGAGCTTTTATTTGGCAGAACTCAGGGATTTATTCACCGCTAAACGCTTAATTTGACGCTTGGTCCTTTCATCAATGTTTGGCGGGCGGCCCAATCGCGGTTTATTTGGTAAACCATGTGGATTTTTCAAAAACTTGTGAATTGTTGTCTTACTTCTGCACATAATTTTTGCTATATCTCTTACAGTTTTGCCTTCCTTCTTCAAATTGAGAGCAATTTTCTTTTCTGAATCGGAAAGCAGAGCTTTCGGTGCCATTTTGCTATGAAANGAAATAAAGCCACATTACACTGAAATTCTCTGCAAATCAATAAATTTTATATTCTTTACACACTTTCTTTTATTCCGGTTATTGAAAATTCAATAACACCACTTTTTCTGCGTTTGTGCCACTTTTTTTCCTACGACCGAGCGCATGATTCAATAACACAAGGCTATGTAATTTGTAAATCTGACACTCCTTTATCTAGATTTGTATTTTGGAAGTAGGAGAAAGGGGAAGAATGTGATCGCCTTTTGCGAAAACGGTAGTAAAAAGGTACTAAAAGGTGCGCAAAGTATACAATTAGAAGTAAAATTTGTATTTTTAATTCTATGTGAATTTGCAATATATTTGGTTTTTTTAATGGNCCGATCGCATGATTCAATAACACAAGGCTATGTAATTTGTAAATCTGACACTCCTTTATCTAGATTTGTATTTTGGAAGTAGGAGAAAGGGGAAGAATGTGATCGCCTTTTGCGAAAACGGTAGTAAAAAGGTACTAAAAGGTGCGCAAAGTATACAATTAGAAGTAAAATTTGTATTTTTAATTCTATGTGAATTTGCAATATATTTGGTTTTTTTATGGAAATACTAAACAATAGTAAAGATATAGATTTTTAATTTAAGTTATTCGTCATTTCCTGGAACAAATCTAGAAAACCGNTACCGACCGTTCAGCTATCCAAAAACGAAAAATGCAGGTCAATAGAACTTTTTAGACTCATTTCAACCATGCCAAAATTATTAAGCGCAGGTAAACTATAAAGACGTTTTAGAAGGTTAAAGTTGAATTATTTGATTTTTTTAAATATTAATATCTTATGAACCACATAACCGATTAAAAACTAATAACGTCACCATAAAAATAATCAATTTATCTTTCAGCTGATATACATAACTGAAATTGTTTTTTCTATATTTAACCAAAACCACTCAAAAACGAACTAATGTTATTTTTTCATGAAATAACCTTTTTTAGAAGAAACTGCATGATTAATGGTAAAAAAAAAATATTATTTAGAAAGTACATGCTAATATCTTTAATTCGATATACATATTTTATCATGATCTAATTTTGGGTTTTAAGAATTAAGTGATAATAAAAAATATAAATAAACAAAGCAAATAAACCTCTTATATTTTCTTTGTTTTTTACCCGCGCCAAATAAATTTGGTATCGTTGAAATCAGCGTAAAAAGTTCTATCAATCGGCGCTTTTGGTTATTTTATAGTTAAACGGTCGCAATTCTAGACTTGTTCCAGAAAATTACGCAAACGAAGGTGATGCCAAGGTATATTTACTACTAATATAACTAGAAACTGTAGAGTGAGCAACATTCAGCACAAGTAAAGGAGTCGATTTTATGTGTGGGAGCGAGAAGACTGTTTTATTACAAAAACTTTCTATTATTGAATCAAGGTGTTGATCTATGCCTACCCTTTTTAACTGAGATATCCTTTTAGAATTTTTCGAATCAGTTAAAAAAAAANGTAAAAAGGTACTAAAAGGTGCGCAAAGTATACAATTAGAAGTAAAATTTGTATTTTTAATTCTATGTGAATTTGCAATATATTTGGTTTTTTTAATGGAAATACCAAGCAATACGCAAAAATACAGTTTTTTAATTTAAGTTATTCGTCATTTCCTGGAACAAATACGAAAGGGAATACCGACCGTTCAGCTATCCAAAAACGAAAAATGCAGGTCAATAGAACTTTTTAGACTCATTTCAACCATGCCAAAATTATTAAGCGCAGGTAAACTATAAAGACGTTTTAGAAGGTTAAAGTTAATTATTTGATTTTTTTAAATATTAATATCTTATGAACCACATAACCGATTAAAAACTAATAACGTCACCATAAAAATAATCAATTTATCTTTCAGCTGATATACATAACTGAAATTGTTTTTTCTATATTTAACCAAAACCACTCAAAAACGAACTAATGTTATTTTTTCATGAAATAACCTTTTTTAGAAGAAACTGCATGATTAATGGTAAAAAAAAAATATTATTTAGAAAGTACATGCTAATATCTTTAATTCGATATACATATTTTATCATGATCTAATTTTGGGTTTTAAGAATTAAGTGATAATAAAAAATATAAATAAACAAAGCAAATAAACCTCTTATATTTTCTTTGTTTTTTACCCGCGCCAAATAAATTTGGTATCGTTGAAATCAGCGTAAAAAGTTCTATCAATCGGCGCTTTTGGTTATTTTATAGTTAAACGGTCGCAATTCTAGACTTGTTCCAGAAAATTACGCAAACGAAGGTGATGCCAAGGTATATTTACTACTAATATAACTAGAAACTGTAGAGTGAGCAACATTCAGCACAAGTAAAGGAGTCGATTTTATGTGTGGGAGCGAGAAGACTGTTTTATTACAAAAACTTTCTATTATTGAATCAAGGTGTTGATCTATGCCTACCCTTTTTAACTGAGATATCCTTTTAGAATTTTTCGAATCAGTTAAAAAAAAANTCCGGTTATTGAAAATTCAATAACACCACTTTTTCTGCGTTTGTGCCACTTTTTTTCCTACGACCGATCGCATGATTCAATAACACAAGGCTATGTAATTTGTAAATCTGACACTCCTTTATCTAGATTTGTATTTTGGAAGTAGGAGAAAGGGGAAGAATGTGATCGCCTTTTGCGAAAACGGTAGTAAAAAGGTACTAAAAGGTGCGCAAAGTATACAATTAGAAGTAAAATTTGTATTTTTAATTCTATGTGAATTTGCAATATATTTGGTTTTTTTAATGGAAATACCAAGCAATACGCAAAAATACAGTTTTTTAATTTAAGTTATTCGTCATTTCCTGGAACAAATACGAAAGGGAATACCGACCGTTCAGCTATCCAAAAACGAAAAATGCAGGTCAATAGAACTTTTTAGACTCATTTCAACCATGCCAAAATTATTAAGCGCAGGTAAACTATAAAGACGTTTTAGAAGGTTAAAGTTGAATTATTTGATTTTTTTAAATATTAATATCTTATGAACCACATAACCGATTAAAAACTAATAACGTCACCATAAAAATAATCAATTTATCTTTCAGCTGATATACATAACTGAAATTGTTTTTTCTATATTTAACCAAAACCACTCAAAAACGAACTAATGTTATTTTTTCATGAAATAACCTTTTTTAGAAGAAACTGCATGATTAATGGTAAAAAAAAAATATTATTTAGAAAGTACATGCTAATATCTTTAATTCGATATACATATTTTATCATGATCTAATTTTGGGTTTTAAGAATTAAGTGATAATAAAAAATATAAATAAACAAAGCAAATAAACCTCTTATATTTTCTTTGTTTTTTACCCGCGCCAAATAAATTTGGTATCGTTGAAATCAGCGTAAAAAGTTCTATCAATCGGCGCTTTTGGTTATTTTATAGTTAAACGGTCGCAATTCTAGACTTGTTCCAGAAAATTACGCAAACGAAGGTGATGCCAAGGTATATTTACTACTAATATAACTAGAAACTGTAGAGTGAGCAACATTCAGCACAAGTAAAGGAGTCGATTTTATGTGTGGGAGCGAGAAGACTGTTTTATTACAAAAACTTTCTATTATTGAATCAAGGTGTTGATCTATGCCTACCCTTTTTAACTGAGATATCCTTTTAGAATTTTTCGAATCAGTTAAAAAAAAAATCGACTTAAAAGGTAATACAAAATATTGCGAAAAATATGTACATTTGACTTTACAGTACGATGTACAACGATTCAAAAAGAGAAATATAGTCCCGAAAGTAGTACGGTCGGTCACATTAGGTAAGGATATAATAATATCACGTACTGTAATGCAAACAATGGATCGAGAGTACAGATCTAACCCAAATGGAAAAACTTCGTAATAACTGAAATGCATATTCCTTTTATGTCAGGTAGACTTAAAACATCCGAAGGTCCTTGTTGCTAGCGCTGCTGATCATTTGCTTGTTTAATAATTAACTATTGTACAAATTTGTAAAAAAATAAAAAATAAAACACCCTTTTCATAAATATATAACTCTATTTTATTGCTTTTATACTATGTACAATCAGTTACCGCTGCTATCAAAGAACCTCTGCCCGGTTGGATAGAAGGCATTAACGGGCCAACCGGTCTAATGATTGGAGCAGCACGAGGCATTATTCGCTCAATGCACTGCAACCCCCAATACTCATCGACAGTTATACCAGTGGATAAAGCCATCAACGGGATGCTGGTAGCAGGATACAACCGTAGTAAATCAAAAGAAAAAGAATCCATTGAATTCTACAATCTCTGTATTTCAAAGAAAGAACTTTTTTCTTGGGGTGAAAGCATCGAGACTGGAAAACGATTTTTCTATGAGTTCCCGCTAAGTTATGCATTGTGGTACCCAGATGGATCAATAAAGAAGAGCTACTATCATCATCTTTTCTGCGTGATTTTCTTTCATTATATTCCAGCATATCTCATAGATTTTTTCTTGACAATTTTTGGACGAAAACCCTTGTAAGTAAATTTTATAACTCATATCCTTTAGATTAAATGTAAAAACATGTTTTATTTGTTTCAGTATGATACATGTACAAAACAAGATATCAACAGGTCTTAACTTATTACAGTACTACACCACTAAAGACTGGGACTTTCGCAACGACCATTTTCAACGTTTAAGCGATAACTTAAATCAGACTGATCAGGAGCTGTTTGATACGTCACTAAGTCAAGTAAATTGGGAACAATACATACGTGGATATATAATTGGCATGCGAACATACATACTTGGCGAGGATGAAGCGACTATTCCAAAGGCGAGAAGAATGCTGCGCAGATTATATATTCTAGATCGCTTCACAACATACACTTTTTACGTTTTAGCCTTTTGGTTCTTGTGGCTGAATTTAGAAGGTTTTGTGGCGGAAAGTGATGCGATAATACGGTCCTCTTTGCAAATAATTTACAAAGATTATAATAAAACTGTTCATACTTAGTGTCAAGGTCGACAGTTAGAATTTGTCCATGCAAATTTATTCATCGCAATTTTTCCAGAGGAGTGTAATAACTATGTACACATCGAATTTTTATGCAAAAACATAAAACAAAAATTGTGCGTATATAAGTTATTTGTAAATTTCACTTTGGGGATGCTTAAATTATACAAAAAATCGCCGAGGCAATTAAACTTAACGTTGGGACGTAGATTACCGATGTGTATACCGTTTTTCTAGACCAATTAATTTTCTCAAAATATATCCATTTTACATAAGTTTACATTGTGAGTAGAAAAAAAAATTAAAAATATTACAAGGTAAAAATTTTTAATTAACCAATAAGCCAAGTGTATGAGTAAGATTACTTCCAGCTCATATTTCAGAAAAAAACCATTGCGTATTTTAATAAGACCATTCACAGCTTTTATATTCAACCGTCGATTTTTGTTAAAGTTTAACTCTCTTTTTATTCACAATACCAACTTTACATGAAAATATCTTGGTGAAATAACCCGATTCAGAAAAACCGTATACAGATTAGTATTCTACGACGCAAGATTTGGTTTCCATATTTCGGCGTTTTTCTTGTGTCATTTAAACCTTTAGATTTTCCGTACAGTATAATCATTCAATATGCCTACGGTGACCATCCGTTATGTTTTTTGCAGACCCGTACTGTTTTTCAAAGGTAGGTCCTGCGTAGTTTTTCAAACCTAAAAAATCTGAAAATGTACTAATTTATTCCAAGTGTCCTGCATTTGTCCCGCATTTTATTCGTTATTTTAAAATTATCGGACAATGGATGGATTTTTTGAAAAAAGTGCTTTTCGGTACTTTTCGTAGCTTTTCTTCAATATCTCATGGAAAAATCTCGCAATCAACGTAAACGACTTACAGCTCGAAGGGTATTGATGTGCCTCTTACCAAAATATATGACTTGTGGCGACTTCAATGAAAATTATTAGTGCCACAGGCGACCATTTGCATTTCGTCGTCAAAGTCGAAAAAAGTGAGATTTTCAATCAAATACGCAGCTTCATTTGATTATTTTTTTTCATTACTTTAAAAATTCGATAAAGAAGATATATCATTACAGTAAATTGTGAGCCAAAGATAATGAAAATCGGATTAGAAATGTAGATGCTATGGAGCGCAATCTGCACAAAGTATATATTTTTGTAAAGGGCACTTTGTAACTCGTCGTTTACGTCGATTCATGACGTAGATTTTTGACAAATAACTGCGAAAAGTACCAAAAAAGGGGTATTGTTTTCGTTTTGAACGACTCAAAATTTGGCTATAAAATAATCTTTTAAAGATTTTCACTTTTCGAGTAAGCCATTGTAATTATAATATGTTTTACTATACTTTCATAAATATTCATGTATAAAAAAGATTAATATCGATATCATTTTAAAGTTTAAAATGTATTAAGAATTTAGAATCATAAATACTCTTTTGATATTTTTATACTACGTAAATATATGTAGGCATATTTTTGAAAAATTGTCCTTCATTTTGAATCAATATTTATGGTCACCGTAAATATGCCACATATTTCCACCTAAAAATAATTGATATTTATTTTTTTTATTTAAAATATTTATTTTCTGTAAAGTAAGATTTTCCAATATACTCAAAATCATCAAAATGTGCTTTGAAAAAGCTCAGTATACAATGTGTGCAAAATTTAGATTTGGATCAATCGGAATAATTTTGTATGCAAATAGTACGGAGCAGATATGGGCATGGCCACTAAAAAAAGCCCAGGCCCGCACGTGTATATTTTAATTGTCCTAACCTTATACATTGTTAAAATAAAACACATCTTAAGCAAGGATCACACGATTTGTACATTTGTGCAGATTTGTCCATTTTCACCGTTGCAGAGTGCTGTTGGTTGGAAAGTTGTTATTGAGCTGAACTCATCTATACATGTAATAAAATGCCTAGAGGTACGTTATAGATAAATACTTAAAAAAAATTAACATGGGGAGTCTTTATTAGAGCAATAGAAGCCAAATCAAAACTGTTTAAAAATGTTTTTGGGTCTGTCTGTATGTTTGTACGCGCATCACTCGAAAACTAATGCATGGAATTGAATGCAGTTTTCAGCGATGTATTGCTAGAGGTCTAACATAAAATATAGAGAGACAAAAATTAGATAATTGCCACCTGTTTTAAAATTTCAGTTTAGGTAAATTGATAAGGTAAAGTAAAGATTGCAATATGGCAGTCAAAAGAAAGAGGTTTAAGAAGACTTACCGCCAGAAATATTTTTTTGGAGATTGTCACCTGTTTTAATTTAATTTCTTTGCTAAGGTAAATTAAATATCGCAATATGGGTATAAACTAGGGGTGCCAATCCCGGGATACCGGAATCCCGGTGTTTTTGACGTCCCGAAAATTTTGAAATATCGAATTGATATTAAGAATATGTTTATGAATTTTGAAGTATGATTTTTGTAAAATGCCGTTGTGACTGCAATTAACAAAAAGCTTGAAACTGTACTTCTAAATTGCAGTCTGAGCCTTTTTGGAAGAAGATTTCAATGAATTTACTCATAGCGTCGCTAATGTAAACGAAACAGAGAGTTTTAAGGAAAAGTTAGATAATTTTTTGATCAATCTGCACAAAACTTCCTCAAATCGAAAAACGAGAAACGTGCTGGTAAAGAAAATTCAAATATTTTGTAATGGAGGAGATAGGGGTCATTATCTTCAAATGGATTATGTCTGCCTTTTGCCAGTTCAGCCTAAAAGTGTTGATGCCGAAATATGTTTTTCATCAGTAGGTTTTGTATGTAAAAACTGCAGGTCAAGCTTAGAAGACTCCGCTTTGAATGCTTTGCTGCTCTTATGAAAACATTTTAAGTGCAATAATAACCACACCGGAAAAAGGAGAGTGTGTTTTTAACCAGACCCACCTACCAACATGTATTTCTACCCGCTGAATCCGATTCTGAGATCCGTTTGACTCGTACACCCTCAAAAT